TTTGGTCGAAACGTCGGATTAAACGAATAAATAAACCATCTGCCAGCCTAAGTCGTCTAACAATTCTCTCTACCGTTGAACATTCACTGGCGATTCACATTCTAAAGTTGTATAATTAGTTACGTTAGAATCATTTGAAATTCTGTTTCATTCTCCAATAAAACGAAAGTTTGGCTTCTTATTCTCCTTTATAATACTTTTTGAGATTTTTGAGAGAAAATTGATAACTTTTTCAATATTTAGCTTGTGATATCTCGATAACTGTTCGTCGGAGGGACTTTTTCTACTTTATTTGATGTCAGGAATATGCTGTTGCAACAGTGCTCCAATTATTGAAAATTTTTTCGTACAATCCTTATTTTTCCAGATACTTTGCAGTTTCAAGTTAAAAAACTCACTCTGTATAATAGATGATAATTTGTCGACGTAATACATTTAAAAATACAACACATACACATATTTTAACGTTGATATAATTTCGTTAGTACATCTGTATATTAATTAACATGTATTGAAAAATTGTAATTACTTGGTGTATTGATAAGTCACACGCAACGTTCTCAACATCATTATTTTCTGTATATGCTCGGTACAACGTGATTGTTGTATTGAGCGTGTGTCGATATTCTCTCAAAGTGTAAGCTGAAAGAATAGAGTTTACAAGACTGGGAATTACCGTAAAAGTATTATGTAAATTGGATTCCGAGTCACTTGCATATATAACGCAATAACAAGATTTTATGATTGAAATAACTGAGCGAGCAAAACGGAAAAAGGGGGAAAAAAGAGACATTTATGGCGACGAGTGACAAAGTGGAAACAATTATCTTGATGTATTAACTAGTGTTTCCTAGTCATACGGAATTTACTCGCGACATTAATCAATCATCGGTGTATGTTGCTATTGCCACGATAAAGTGTGGTGAATATTTGGGTGGCGAGTAATAACCAGATATCAACATACACCTAGCCACATTATCAATCACGCACGAATCACGTCTGCATGATTTATTTTGCCGTTTTGCCGATCGACAATTTGCGAGTGTATTATCATGCCGGAAGATAATGCATAACCTAACCATAGGTGTAATGTTTAAATTCAGAATGCAGCAAATTGTGCGCATTCATGACGCTGTACAATTACCGGTCCGCCTCCTCGCGACCGCCGAAATTATTTGAAATGCAAACTCACGCGGGAGAGGCTTATGTACACTACGGATGTTCTATTATGTTGTAACGTGTCACGTTTGCCGCCATTCCGTGCTGTCATGTTCGGCTCTTCGTCGCGTTTATCTCGGACATGAAATCTCTTCCATCGATAGCCCAATTGAGCTATAAACATCAAAATTGTATATTGTACTTACAAATATTATTTGACATCGATTGGATGCCGTTTTAGATCTGTTTTTCATAACATTTGGATATTTGACGTTAACATGTTTAATTATGTCATACGTATTATTTTTATGAATTTGTGCTTACAATTAGCACGTAACGTGAAAACTATTAATTTGAATTTTTATACAAGTAAATATTTTTGTAAAAAAGACTTTAATCTGCCAACATTTTGCTAATAGAGATGACAACAAAATAAGTCAAAATATATAGTATACTAACGGTTTATCATTGAATTTAGTGACAAGTGCTCTGTGGCCTGGTGCCAAATCCAGCTTATCCGAAATCGGGAACAGGAAATTCTTCTTTTTGTCTTTCTTAAACGTTTCAATTTAAACCATACGTAACGCTGTAGTGAGTCTTTTACGATAGTTGATATCACAGCGTTCAAGTTGAAAAATCACCTCATTTGTTTTAAAAGTTCAACTTGGATCGAAACGTAAATAATTTCAACTTGAACTTTACTAATACTCAAAGTCAGTGGACTTTTGGAGTACGAAGTTGGTTGATTTAGTGTTAGCTACCAAAATTGTTGGGAAATTATCTTATTCGAGTCTAGCACAAAATTTAATTTGCTTCAATAGACAAAAACATTTTACTGATAAACCCTATATACCCAATTTATAGTTTTGTCCCCATTGTATTCATCAATTTGTCAGTACGTTTCTTGATTATACATATACGAGGTTAAGCTGTATGTATATTTATATGTAATTGGCATTATTTTTATACATGGGTTTTCTTTTCATCAATCTTATGTTCAATATTGTATACAAATGGTAGTTTTCAGTCATACTTGACACATAATACTTACTACTTGTAACACATGGAATATTTACTTGACTACTAGGATTAGAGAAAAAAAATGTTGTAATTTGCACGTAACACAATGAAATCAAACATCTCTCTATCGTCATAGCAACAAAATAAAGTAGGAATAGGAATGCATTTTATAAGTCAATTAAACAATTCATTTGACTGTTTATATGTATAGCTATAGCTTTTTATAATAATTTATATGCGATTTAAGCTCCATAAATGCTTGGACCACATTATAATATACTTATGTATATGATCTTTGCCTTCTCTGCATTTGATATGAGTATAAAGTTCATGTCTGTGATCGTCCATTGAAAATTATTTAAACTCGGCTATTCGTTTCTGTAGTTGACATCGTCGCGTGAGAGGTCGACCTGGGGGGGAAAAAAAACAGAGAAAAGAAAAGAGGAAATGAGAAAGTAAGGAACGTGAGAATTGAAAATAATGATTTTCTTCTTTTTACTTGACTTAACATTGTCGATTCTTTCATTCGCCATATTCAACTACTGATTGTGAGATCTCGAATAAGATTGAAACGTCTACAACTCTTTGTTGTTTCGATACAATTATACAAGCGTATCATACATATTATTTTTGTTATAACATTGTTATAAACTATTACGCTGCAATCACATACGTTGTTAAATGCAGGAAAAGCATAGAATATACCTATGGCGATTTTTTATTGTCTAAAAATGACTTTATGTCAAAATATTAATAACTGTTCAATTTTATTTAAATTTAATACTTTTTGAAAAAGCATGAAAATACGTTAGGAACTCTATTCGTCAGATAAGTGTGTGGCTTTACTCATACAGCCATAATAAAACTAGTGCGATAAGCTTATATCAAATTGTTAAGTTATTGAAAAAGGTAATTAGATCAATTAAATTCTTATTCGATAATCTGCTGCGTAAGATAAAAATAATTATACACTGATAAAGAATTTATACAATATGTTATGCAATAGATAAAATAATAAAAGTGCAATATGAATACTTTTCTCTGTTTAATGTGAATCGACTGACTAAAGCATTTGACCGATCGGACATCGATAAAAGATAAATGTTCCGTCAGTATTTATATCGTCTCGGAAAATTGGACGTTCCTTACTTTCGTATTCTGGCAATCGCAAAGCGCGATTCAATTTGGTGATAACACGATCTCCAAGGATCGCTCTCTCTCTCTCGTGTTTTGCAGTGTGTTTTCTATTCTTTCGAGCATCCCCGGTTGCCGCGTCGATAGTTGCCGCGTCGATAGTTGATAGTGCGAAAAAAGTTTGCCGAAATTTAATATAATGATATCGCAAGGAGTGGAATTGAAATAACAAATAGAAATCCCATATCAAGTCATATTATTTTTCGTGGAAGAATAAACGATCTCTTTGCAAGATAATTTATCAGTTGTAACACATGTATGTATTATCAAGTAGCAGTGTTTCCATTGATTGGGAACATAGGTGCTTTTCCTATAATACTTGATGCCGCTCTCTTTTCTTTCCTTTCCTTTCCCTTTACCCTTCTTATCCCTACCTTCATTTTTCACTACTCCATTTTCTCTCTTCCACCTCTTCCGCAAACACTTTCTCGTCTCGTGTCTCATCCCCGTCTTCTCGCCCTTCTCACAGCATCCTTTTCGCAACCTTTCGCGTTGCACTTTTCACTTTACCCTTCTTTTTCTTTTCTCTCCTTTCTTTTTCCTCCCCTCACTTCGCACTACCTTCTATCTTCATTGCAGCCCCTGAGCCATGAAATGCACATAAGCGAAATGCCGCGGTACGAAGGCTCGAGCAATTAGCGGAGAAGGTAATTTATCAGGTAGTAGCGCTCGGTTCTCTCTCCGAAGCGCTGCTGGAAGTAAAGAGGATGTCATTACTCATGCGCGCCAGCCGTAATCTTAATAACGGTTTTACCCGCGCTGGTTAGATGAAGGAAGGCTCGCGCGCGGCGCGAAAGTGTTCGCTTTCCTTTTTTTCTGTCGCTCGCGTTGCCTATTTCCACCCTTGCAATTTCAGCTCGTCGCAGAGTTGCAGAGTGCACCCGTATCGATTTGAAATTGATATCCAATCATATGTCTTGATGTGCGATTACGATGTTACGATCTCGAACGCTTTAGAGCTCGACACTTTTACTCTAATACTGCTATTCACATGCTTTCTGCGCGCACCCCAATATTCTAATGCGAACAAAATTTTCCGTCCAATTCTTTATTTCATACAGCTGGATTGGTTCAATACAAATTTTGCATTATAAGATATTTAAAATTCAAATATATTGAGAAAAGAAATAGACTCTACTTTTAAGTGTGGCCAGTTATCACCAATTACTTTTTAATAGTTTGTAAAAACATACCCATTATTTCATTATTGAAGTTGAAAAGAGAGGTAGTTTTTTCACCTGGTCTAAAGATCTATATAAACTTATTTGTATATTAAATTAATCTGACGTAAAAAATGCCATTTAGTTGTATCGACATATATAGTATAAATCTACTAAAGAAATAATGATGAGGTGTTTATTGTGTTGCAGAGGACAAGTACGAATGTATGGGGCGAATGGATGGGTGTGATGCATGGTGACGAAGTAGAATACGTCTTTGGGCATCCCTTGAATAAGTCTCGGGAATATACGGACAAAGAACGAGAGCTATCTTTGAGAATGATTCGCTACTTCGCACGATTTGCATATACAGGGTAGGTATTATTATACGTAGCAATACTACGAATTACATGTACATATGTGTTCCTTCAACTTTCAAGTATATCTGCAATATATGTGTAAAGACACTAACCTCTCTAATCTACGGCACGTATTTAAAATTGAGAAATATTGACCAATAAAGCAGTTAATAAAGAGGCTTGTATTATTATATATAGTATATATGTATATTACTATTTTTGACAGAGTCACGATGTCGCGAATGTAACAGAATCAGGATCGATTTTGTCAAGGATAATGGCCCACAATGTCTATTCTCTAAAAGTCAGTCAATTTTATTCACAGCATAATAAGCTGTGAATATTCATTCTTTTCAATGACAGTCCACTGATAAACTTTTAGAGAGTGTGTTGCTCTGTTGACGACTAATTTATAAGCATTAAAGGTCACAAATCATGTATGTAAATATAAAAATAATGTAACATTTTTTTGGCAATGTTAACTAAAATCTCCAACATCTTGATTCGGCATAAATTACTATCAATTTTATGCATGTTTTTCTACTTAATACATTGCACTGCATGCAACTAATAATCTGATAAAACTCGTATAGCTTGCCAAAAGAATGAAATTAAAATAGACTTTGTTTTTATTTAAATGGCCAATTTCCTGAAATAGAAAAAATAGTACAAGAAAAAGAGTTAAAGATGTTAAAAATTGCTTTTTCATTGCATTGTCTTACAAACGAAACATATCTTTCCTGTTATGTATATGTACATATGCTTATGTTAACATATATAGATATAAGCATTGATATTCCAATTTCATAATTTTTTAAATTATTGTTGCGTCATGCATAAATTGCACATGTTCTGGAACTCAATGAAAAATACACTAACAAAAAAGTGTGTATGTAATTTTGATATTTACGCGCAAACATTTAGTCAATTTTACGATAAATATAAATAGTTGAATATTTAATCAAGATAACAAAATTCTTACTTAATAAAAATTTGCACACGTTGGATGAATGTAACATACAATTACAAGTATAAGTGATATATCGTGGACGCCAAAGTAGAGTTCGTTGATGTGTGAAACCAAGTTAATTTAAATTCAAATTATAACTACCAGTATAATAACCTAGAAAAGGGGTAGAAACTCGCTGCTACATTTAAATCTAAATTTCCATTTGTTAATACGAAAATGTTAGTGTCGCATACTGAGTAAAAAGAAATGGTTTTTCACAATCATACATGTATATAATGTTATTCGTTATGAATACACTTTTCAAACAAATAGTCTGAATTGTTAAAAGAACTTGCAACCCGAAATAATTATTTATTGAATTACGATCAACATCAGAGGTCGATTTACAACATTTTTTCATAATTACATTTTGCAGCAAATATAATATATGTTTCTACTTTTCGAATGGAAAATACGCTCTAGTTTCGTCTCACTTAGTGTCATACATTTATCAAACAAACAATTAGATTTGTGATTCTGATTATGTAAAAAATTAAATGTGAATCAAAATGTATCTTTATACACATTTTAATGTAAGACATGTAAAATATATCACGTTGCAAATTGCATCTCCGATAATTTTTATATTTTAACAAAATGTTAAAACCATAACAACAGTTAGTTTACCTTTGAAAAGATTAAGATAGGATTTATCTAAAGATTTCAAGTTATTATAACGTTTCGCTCTCTATGTGTGGTATTGTTTGCTTTGTCGATCGCTACCGACATATCGTCTTGATATTATCTACGATATCTATTTGAAATTAGTACAATATTGTTATTGTAACACGTAACAGAGAGAAGAGATAAATTAGATTGCTGTTTGCTCGTTTCTGAAAGATTTGCATAATTCATTGGTGTGATTACTTGTTAATCTATGTTTTAGGATACCAACAATGAGCGAATCCGAGTGGCCACCTTATACCAGCGATCATCCAAAGTATTTTATTTGGAACGCAGAGAAGAGTGAGTTCGGCAGAGGTCCTCGCACAACAGCCTGTGCATTTTGGAATGAGTTCCTGCCGCGCCTAAAGGGGATTCCCGGTACGTAACGATCGCGAAATGCAAAATAAAAGATTCTCCCAATTCAAGTTTGACAAATTGTCTTTCCAATTAAACTTATTCTTAATTTCGTGCTCTTACCTTTTCTTTTACAGATCCCACACCCGAGGCATGCAAAAGCGCAATGGCGTCAAGCGTTTCCGCAGGTGTCGGCGAATTGCGCAGTTCACCAATGGTCGCGTTCATCCTCTTACTTCCGGTGCTGGTAGTATATAGATTCATATAAGCGGTTATTCATCCATGTCGACAAACCCTTTTCATGGCTGGCAGGTACCTGACTGGGCAGAAAAGTTCCATCGCGGCGTTACCGTCCGAGCAAGCAGGTCCTATAATGAGCATTGTTTACGCTTCAAGGTCGCATTAGCGGTCGTCAACCATTCGTAGATCGATAGGTCGCCGCCGTAGGACGTATATGCTATCGTCGTATAGCAGTAGGTCCGTCTCCACTGTGTCGTTATGTCACACCGGCACTGCTAGCAGAGAGCGACGTTTGCGAAAGATAATCAGATGTTCCACGGCGCGGTGCATTCGCCGTTTCGAGTTAGCCGTAGACTTATAATCCGCGATCCGCGCGATCGCAGATAAGAGATACTCGACAAGAGAGGCAGGGATTTCGACCATTCGCACTTTCCATTAGGCTCTAGTTCTTTTTTCGTCATCTCTTAGAATTCGCTCTCGTCGATTCAAACCATCTTATTTCTATACCCGATAGTCTAACAATGAGATATATTTGTCTCGCGAGATACAGCGACTAGGAAAGCCCGCGTAAAATACATTTTGCCATCTCGTTATAGATGCTTTCGAAATAATCGTTGCTTTACTTTAGAGCAGTCTAAATTATTGGAGGCGATCGACCTACAAGTCGTTGTCTGATTGCTCAGCAAGCAATGCAACTGCAATTGCAAGGGTGTTGTGTACAAAGTGTGTAAATAGGTGAAGGAATGAGAAAGGCAAATGGCGACCTATCTCGATCTCGCGGCAAATACGCAACATTTGATCAATTACAATAAACATATAATTGACGATCGAGCGTGGTATAATATCGAGATTTGTCAAATCCTCATGGATCCAATTAAACGGCAAGATCGAATTTCGATGCGCCCGGCAATAAGCTCGATGATATATTTGTAACGTGATTCACGAGATTTAAGCTGTAACAACAGCGCGCGATTAGTCTCTTCGTTATTAATTGTAAGAAACCAGCTGCGACCGGTGCAACATCTTGTAACATATTTGATCTCTTACAATTAGTTTGCAATGTAGTCGATCAAGTCTAGCACGATCAAGTTTTATATGCAATATCAATTCCAGGGCAGGAAGCAAAAGACGAAAATGATAAAATAACGAACGTAGCGTAGTTGAAGAAAATTAATCGGTATCAAAGGGCGCGGTTATATTAACTCCCAATTCACCAAGCTGGAGAGCACGTCGCGGGTTCAATCGCCGGAGAATCTCTCTTAAAAGAGAGCTCTTCGAGCACTCATTCCGCTCTTGATAAAATTAAATCAAGCCAGAGGAGCAAAATTAACAGTATATTCTCAATTAGAACAGGTGTTTTGCAATCATCGTATCTATATCTGACAATACATTGATTATAAAAGCTAATTCCACAACAAGGGAAGGAATTCATTATGGTTGGATATTTACAATATACAAATCATTTCCTTGCGAAAGGAAAAAGTGGAATTTTTCGAAAAGTTTAGAAATAATCCATTATGTGGCCAATGATACCACCCAAAAACAAAAATGCCCATCAATTTTATTATGAGCATAGCGTAACCTCTAATTAAGATAAGCCTCCCTAAACACTACGAACAATGGATTCATTCAAACGTTCATCTTTAACAGTTATTTTAACATTTTAACAAGAACAACAGTACCATATCAATTGCTATTCGATAAACTACACGATAAGTTACTTTTAAAAATATCGAAACAACTGAAAGACCTAATAGATGATAATAATAATAATAATGATCTGCTAATCGTAACTATCGCACAAACTGTAGGCCCTAAAAATTCCTTCTTTAGATAAAAGATTTATTTTGAGCTTCATTAAATTTTGTTTAAAACAACACGAAAAGCTACATTTTTATCTGATTGTTTAACGACCGTGCGTATACACGTGTATGTATACTCGATTTACTCCGCAAAAATTAAGGATTAAAAGATGAAACATTTTAAAAGCAGTGCAACACTGGCATATTTAACAATGGAAATTGTAAAATTGTCAATTTCCAAATAATCCAATTGTTTGACACTTTTTAAGGATTCTCATTCTTCATAAATGACTGCATCTTGATAAAACTATACGAGTTATCTACAACAATAATACATTCTAAAACTAAATAAAGCAAAAGATACTGCGGACAAGGGCGAAATTGATATTGATTTTTCCTTCATTTTCCAATAATGAAAACAATGAAAAATCTATTCGTTATTCACACAAATTCAATCGATTCAGCGGAAATATTATCTGAGCACGAACCCTCGCTCATAGAACATACCTTAATCAGCGTGAGTAGAGACAAACAATAACTGCAACACCATCTTTATCAGAAGAAATTACAACGTTACATCTGACCGCTCGTTTTCTCGGAGTTGATCGTTTCGACCTCTCCGTGCTGTCTCAGCAAAGCTCTCTTCCCTGAAGTTTTCTCAATAGAGTATCAAGGATTCCGCGTGCAGGGATCAAGTAGCTAGACTATATCGTGTTTCGCGAAGCTTAAGAATAGAACTTTGAGGAGAAGTAGCGGACAAGACCCGTGTGCATTTTGCTTCATTATCAGTTGAAAGATAAAAGAAACAAACATGTGCCCCCGCGAATCTGGAATATTATTTCTCAGAAGATACAGGCTACCTATTATGCAGCATTGACTGAATTTCATCATTGTTTATCATTGTTTCGAAAAGTTTAACAACTCTTTCGATGTGAAATTTCATGTCGCGCATTTGTTCATGAAACGTTTAAAATATGTCGCATGTTCGCATTGGTGGTTCGATCAATGTGCGTTATTAAATCCCGGCTCGTTTTATGGCAGGTGACGCTTCAAACAATACTATCTTGAATAAAATCAAGGAGGTAAGTGATTCTCTAAAGATTACGTGAGCGTGAAGCTCTTGCGATCTGATGTAGCACAGCAATGAGAATCTACAATAAATAAAACGCATGTGAAATAGTACAAACGTATAACATAACTGTAACGTCTAAAGGAGTTGTCACTTTATATCGCTTTTTCATGTTGCGAGAAAATGCATTTGCGAAGAGAAGAAAAAATAAAGTTTATGGAGACTTTACGTTGAGAAACTTGTTGTGAAAAATATAATACATGTACAGAGATAAAAGTATTGAAGCTGGAAAAGAAGAATTAAGATTTATATTTGGTTAAATTGTTTTGTATGTGCGCGCGTCTCTCTCTCTCTCTCTCTCTCTCTTGGAAACAATGGTGGTGGGGATAGACTCTCGTAATGTCCACGTTATGATCTAGAAGTAGTATTCGTCTTTTTCTTTCACAGTTCTGTACCTCGTATTGCGACACACTCTTAAAACAGTAGCGACGCACAGTTAGCGCGAACAGAAAACTACCTCCTTGATGCAGTCACCCCCACTACTAAAAATTCCATGTTGTTTCCAGAATCCAGATCTGTATGTATAGTGCTCCTGAGTACTTACTGCAGCCATCTTGGATTATGACGTCAGACGCGAAAAATGACACGCTGAGAATTCTTGCGCTTTATAACTACAGAACAAGATATCTGAATAAGAAAACATTCCATATTGTTACATTCACATTTTACAGCTGTTTATCGGCTGTCAAGGGAAAAGGTTAGTTACCGGAGCATTTTGAAAATGTACATACAAAAATTCTCAGCGTGCCATTTCTCCTTTCTGTCGTCACAATTGCCAACATGGCCGTGGCGAGCGCAGAAGCCTTAATTGTAAGTCCGTATCAGACTACGGGTTGAGTTTTGAAAATTTGACCAATCGGAGTAAAATTCACTAAACTTTACTTCGATTGGTCAAATTGCAATCTAATTTCAATCTCAATCCGTAGTTTGATACGGGTTTTAAGTAAACTTGATTAATTTTGTTACTTTAGGTTTTATTTGTAAATATTAAAAGATTATTTGATTTTTATTCGAAAATATAGTTTGATTACATTATTATTTTTATGTCACACATTGATTAATTTCTATACATATAGATAATGAAGGAAAAATTGAAAAGAATTGAAAAATTTATCACACAATTAATGTTTGGAAATATATCATTACCTGTTTCAACGGAGACATCGACTTGTATCATTTCCAAATCTCACAGTTAGTTACATTGCATATTTTTTACATGTGAAAATTGTGACATAAGAATCATGTATGTACACATGTATTATTTTAATTAAATATTTGATAATACTATTATAATTTCGCCAAGAAAAAAGGATATTGGTGATATCAATAATAATAACATATTTTACGCTGCTTGTAGCAATCAATTAGGCAATAGTAAAATTTATTTCAATTAAAATTTTAATCGAGCTGATTTAAGACGTGTCGAAAAAGTTGTTATCAATACTTGACTAAAGAAAAACTGTGTTTTTAATTTTTTTCTCACGCGTGTGCATACATATGCGCGTGTTTGAGTGTGTGTATGTAAGGCCACACACGTTATGTTAAACATTCAACAAGAAATAACAGTTAAAATTTAATTATACTGTTATTATATCAATAATTGATTTGCATTATATTTGTATATTTATGGAGAGACAAATCTAACAATGATTATTTACGCATGAAAGTTTGAAATTCTTTCAGTGCGGGAAATTTGCAAGATTTCAGAATAACGATTATTTCGCGAGAAAGTGGAAGGGAAGAAGACAAGATAACTCGTGAAATATGACAACATAGATATTTGCAGCAAGTTTTACACTTGAGAGTTTAGTCAACAATTAATAAAATTAATAGTGTAAAAAGGAAGGAATTTCTGAGAGGAAGATGCTATTAAAATAACAATGTATAAAAGTAATGTAGATTTTGGTTATCAAAATTACTGTTAAAATGATGTGAGCACAACGAAAGCGATATCGCTATATGGCGGAATTGCTTTTTTCTTGCATACATTATACAAAACAAAAGCAAAAACTGCAAAAAAGTATATGTATGTATGTATAATATTTCACGTGTGAGCTGAAGACTTGATATAATGATGTATACATTGTGCGCGAGGTTTAGCTATAAGCTTAAGTTGCAACAGCGACTTTAGCTTTTGTATTTAAGGATTAAGAATAAAGAAAGTGGTTTGTTTTTTGGTTTTGTAGTATAATCTCATATTCTTTGTGCTTGTCAAATGTTGTTGCAGTTTGGCGATCGAACAATTGGCACGTGATGTGAACACGATCAGCACCATGTTCGATTCTATATATAATTGTTTAATCGTCAAAGATCCAAGTTCGTCCGTGCGAATTACCCGTAAACGTTCGTTAAACATACCTACGGGTTTTGAAAATATCTTTCTTTTCGAAAGGTAGCGCAACCGGCAATTATCGCGGCGAGGCTATAATACATGATTAGAAAGGAAAAAATTCTAAGCTTGTATCTCGACAAGTTAGTAGTAGAGATTTGCTCATAATTCCCACGTCATTCTATTTACATGCGCATATGCGTACATGTGACAGACGTACAGGGTGTCATATATGAATTAATATGTATCAAAGTATATATTACATTGCACAAAGAAAGGAAATTATTAGAGAAGCGTGGTTACGATATGCACTTGATATTGCTATTCAATTTTGGTTTCATCCAAATATTTATTCAAAATACCATAGGTCTTCTCACAAGTTTGCGCATAGTCAACTTCAATATCGCAACCAAAATATTTATTAATTTTAACGAGACTTTACAATACTTGCGAGTAAAATGTGCTCTGAAATATTTCAAGAAATGAGTCGGTTCACTTTATTTGGCACGCGTATTGTCAAACTTACCTGGACGAATGGTCCACCAATGGAATGCAATGACGAAACTTAACCAGGTACTAAGAATTTTGGAGGGGGAATTTCAATTCGTTTTGTATTTTCGCAATGGTAGCGACGCTGGAATTTACGCCGCTTCGTTATTCGTCAGTCGCGTGTTTGCGATCATATTCAAACATGCCTACATACATGTCACGCGTGAGCGTTGTGTACGGACGAATTGAATTTCACTGCTTTGATCTGAAATTGATATCTCTTGTACAGATATCTCGAGCGAGAGAGCATTACTTGGGGCAGGTGTATCGCGACTTTTTCGAAAGTGTCTTGCTTTGAAATTTGATTTTTTGAACTTGTAAATATATTCTCTCTCTCTCTCTCTCTCTCTCTCTCTCTCTGTCTGCATATCTCCTTACTTTCATACCTCTACAATTTTTGAAATACTTTCTACAAATTTTGTTTTTATTTATTTATTACAAATCAGAAGTATAGTCAATACATTAGTAAATGTTATGCGATTGTGTAATCAGGATAGCCAAATCTGTTGAGAATAGAGTCTTGAAAATGTTGATTGCAAATTTTGTCCAATTTTGTTATGCAGCAGAAATATTACAGAATCTGCTAATGGAATATAATGGCATAAATTGATTGAGGAAACTAATTGGAAGCAGAATGTGCTGTTTTATAACCATTTAAATTACTATATTTCATTTTTAAATGTTTACAAAGTGGTAGATTCTGCTTCGTTTTTACCGGACAGAATTCCTTGTCAGATTATATGTATGTTAGCAGGTTCTACCGTCAAAATATATGTTTAATTCGAATGTATGTAGATGATATATTGCATCTGTTGCTGCCAATCTGTTATCACACTGGATAACATGAATACAGGTACTTGTGTAGCATAAAGTAATTTTCTTGTATTTTCGCAAAAATATAGACATATAGTGAGACATTTATTTTTAATAATTATTTAGCTTGTAAATATAGAGTTATTATATTATTTAATATAGTAATCATTTTCTATTTATTTCCATTTCTTTCCTTTGCTTTATGTCCTTCTTTTCTCATTAATTATTTGCAACATTTTCTTCTTGCATCTGATTGATATTTCATTATTGTTTGAAAGTAAGCTTTCAAGTGAAACATATTTTGTTTGCGTAGAAAAGAAAAGAAAAATGAGTAAAAAAATTTTATGTTTTAAGGTTCGAGAATGCTACCCCCCAAATTGTTAAGTCTGTCGAACGAAAATATTGGATAATATATGTATATTTGCTAGCGTAGATGATAAAAACGGATTTAATGCAGAGTCTATCTTAGAGATCTTGGTTAGAATTCTAACTCTGCTTAACGATACAACTAATCTGCTGAAACACCAAACCGATGACAAAAATAATGCCTGCAATCGCTGTCAACGGGATGTTAATCTGCTGCAAGCAGTATCTATCGAATTTGTTGATAAACTATTAGCACATAACATTTACAATTATTCCGATAATACATTTATTGCTTTCTAACATTGCAATGCTTACCTATACATATATACATGCAAAATTATTCACTACATATGAAGGTCAATTTTAATCGCATACGATTTTTAATGACGTTAACATTTGTATAGTCCTGTATGCAACACAATAATATTTTATTAGCTTTTTATAAGACATAATTATTTGTTTGTTGATCGCTACCTTATTCGTGTCATTTATGTGCGAATATTTCGTGAATAGTATTTCGCAGCTTGAAACATTTCAGAGTTCATTTACTTTAGTTTTTTTTATATGTGACGATTATAGTTTGTCAACATATGAGGTAGTTAATAAGCAAGTTAGTACGCGGTCTAAATTTCGCTAAAACTCGTAATAAATAAAACGTATCAGAAATACGAATCTTCCATTTCTTACATATCATCTACATAGAATGTGTGCCTGCGTGCGTGCGTGCGTGTGTGAGTGTGTGTGAATTCGGAATTATCCCCGATTCACAAGCACGTTTAATCTACAAAGGAATGGAAAATCTTTATAACACAAAGAAATTCGTTGTTTTATACATACGTATAGATGAGAATAACATAGCACTCGTACAAGCTTCTGTGACAGCTATCGACGACGAATCGTGTAAAGTCGCATTTAATCGCGATAATGATAGCATCGTCCGTGGTAAAGATTAGCAATTTTTCAGAATTTGTCCTCGCCGAGTACCTTAATACCCATCAAAGGGCGAGTTACGTGCAATTTACGCGCAGCGGATGCTCCGCTATTAAATCGTTCCCTTGAAATCCAGTGATGGATCACAAAG